ATTATATTTGCAACTTCGAAACATCCTTGTATAAAATTAAAACCCTCTATTCACTCGTGTTAAAAAAATAAACTTGCACAATTAATTGCTTTTTGTTGTTATATTTTTATAGGTGAATTTTTCATAAATGTCACTAAATTTGAAAAGTACATCAAAATTTGTCAAATTTACTAATGGTGTTAAAAAATGTCACTTTTTTATGGAGTGATGTTATTCATTCCCACTGGAGTTGAGATCTAATTTATGTGGCAATTACATGGCATTAAATGATAGATTAATATAAATACAAAATCACATGACTAATTTAATTGAGTATATCATTTAATACCTTGTAATTGAAACATNAGACTTGTGCTCAACCCCAGTGGGGTGAATAATATTATTCTTTTTTATGTGACATATCCAATTTACCCTTAGTGATACATTTTTAAGAGCATTTAATGCTTATTAATACTTGACTTGAATGTCATTAACGCTACGAAGTAATGATTTAATTTTTGTACTACAAACACTGGATATATGTATATTATAATGGGTAATATGAATTTTGTTAATAAAAAAAAAGATTTTAAAAAGTGAGCATAAACCAATTTTTTCTACCATTAACAAACCATAACCTTTTAACAATTTTCTCCATTCATTCATGAAGAATTCATTACTATTGGATTCGTCATCCATTTTGAGAGATTCACATATTGCAAATTATTTATATTTTTATTTTATAACTTACCACTTTTGAAATTTTAAATACAATATGATCATATTTATTTGAAATTATTATTCATTGATTTGTTTGGTTTTTCAAATCTTTTTCAATAAAGATATTATTATCCTCTACAAAATGTTGTGGATGATTCTATATTTAATGAAGTATTGAGCTATTTATTGGGAAGATGTCGTCACAGTGTAGTTGAGAGTTTATTATCACCATTAATGTTTTGAATAATTTCTTCTAATCAAACCCAATAAATGTTTTGAAGGATTGCTTCTTTAATGATTTACTATGCAAATTATTTGGGAAGAAAATTTTGTCATTCGATAGTATAATATTAATTACCACACTTAATGTGATGAAAAATTTGTTCCAATCACCCACATATATGATTCTCGTCAGTTCCGACAGTTCAACTGTCGAAAAGGTTAGACATTTCAATAGTCGAACTCGACATTTCGAAACTCTCGGGATAGACATTTCAACTAACAGTTTGGCCTTTTGCTATTGTATGGATTTACTATTCGAATGTGTCACTTTCAAGCTATTAAATGTCAATATATTGATTGTGCAGTATTTTTACCATTGTAATCTCAATTTTTTCAGGTATGAGTAATTATTTGAGATTCATAGTATCGCATGTGGAAATGTTTATTCATTGGATGACGAATAGAAGTGTAGATAGGACAAAACCACCCACATGACGCAAGCAATCCAGATACGAGTCTACCTACGAATTAGGAAATGCACATGTTGTGGTATAGCTAGCTTCCAACCCCATTGTAACACCACTCACGTACATAGGCTTGATGTCTGAAATTGGTTGAAGTTATATTTTGTATGATCGAATGATGGCATTGTACATTTTTAAGTTATATTATCACTATTGTTTCATTATCATTTGTAAACATCGGTTAGGTAACAATAACTTCACAGCAAATTTCTCATATATATAGATTACTTCATTACATTTCGACTATTCAACTGTCGGTCCCGATAGAATATTTTTGTTCCTAACTTGTCAATTGTTGTTTTTTCCATGTCACAACGCTAGCACTATACGTTTTGTATTTATATTATCACTGACGTTTCATTATCGTTTGAAGACAGTAGTTGTGTTTAAGTTCACAAATGAAATATTTCATCACATCCTAAAAGTTAAACTGTCGGTCTCGACAAAAGGTTTATGTCATTCTCGACAGTTGATTGCAAACTTCTCTAAAAATAAGATGCATAAGGAATATGTTGTTGCACAACATTCGGTACATATGTTACCATATGAATTCATGACAAAATTACAATAAATAATTATAGCAGATGACGTACGCAAATTTTGCCCACATCAATGGTCGTCAAGTTCAACGGAGATGCGTAAGCACATATATATATATACAATCACCAAAGCGCGTTTATAATCAAAGCCTCAGAGAATTGTCCATACTACGATCATTTAGTACACAACCACCAAATAGTGTTTATCATAGTATTAACAAACTTCTTGGACACTAAGTTTTGACTCTCTTTCTCTTTTCCTTGGTGTATGAAGTCCTAATAAATGCTGCAGGAAAGCGAACGTGTGTCCATTGCGGCCTCTTTGTGTTATTGTATTGTCGCTTTAAATCGGTATGGTGGTCTCCACTGGTATGTCAATGACATCGCACTCACAAAAGTAGTATGTGTCGAAGTACTTATTTAAAATGCCAACTAATAACAAAATAGCCTACTAACATCTAATTATCTGCTAGGCTACCAAAATCAATATTATGAATCCTTCTTTAGGGAATTTACTTTCATGTTGGACCATGGCATTAAAAGTGGGAAGTGCACCTTTCTTTATGACATCGTCCAATATTGTTGTACCATATGCATTTAAATCGAGAGAAGATATTTAACATTAGTTTTCAACTCAACATGCTTATAACATATAATCAGAATTTAACTCAACATGCTTAAGTGTCGGTTTTACCAAAATTATAAAAAAAAAAAACACTATTAGGAACTATAAAACAAATCAAAACTAAAAAGCTACACAAAAATACTATTACGATACGTTTCCATTGTGAAAGAAATAAAGCCAAAAGTACCATAGCGTACTTTTGCAGTCCAAACCTCGTGAGGTGGCCCTATACGTTGAACCATAACTCATTTGTCTTTTCAGTTTTTATCATTCTGAACACAAGTTGTGCTGTACCGAGAATTGAATTTCAGATAAAATTGGCAAGGAATCCAAATCATGACATTGCTCCGCTGGGGAACGTAAGCATGCAAGTGCGTGGCTTCAAGAACTAAAAATTCAAAAAAAAAAAATCGAGAATAAGGAACAAGAAAAATGAAAAATGTCAAGATGATATGTCACACATTTCATTCGTAGTACACGTTCATGAGTTGCTGAACAAATTTAGGTTTCTAGAACCCACTATCGAGATGAGTGACTTAACTGTCGAGAACGATAGTTTATCTCTGTGGATGGTTCCATAACTATGATGTTTGCATTTCATGAAGTAATAATGGTGTTGAGATGATGGTATGTCATACATTTCAACCTCCAAAACCACATGTAGAAGAGAAGCTTAACAGAAATTTGGCTTATAGAACCAATTGTCGAGAATTTCAGAACCTAACTATCAAGAACGACAGTTCATCTTGACAGATGATTCCATTACTATCAGGATTCACATTTACATTTCACATTCATATTGGATTTCCAAGACACGAAGGGTCAAGTTATGAAAAATATGATTAGTGTTATACTCATAGTTTCAAATAACATCACTTTTTATGTACTCAGCTATTATGAAAATAAAATGATCCAACACTTAAGAAACATGCAAATAACCCGTACAATCATTTAAAGACATGCATATATACTACAACATGTAAAATAGTCAAGCTTATTTGTGCATAGTTGATCGGAACATGACCCAATTCAATATTGGCTCATTTTATAAACTCAAAAGTTAAATCCAAACTCAGTTTGTCCAATAACAACCAAGAATCATCCAAACACAAAATCTTAGTTGTACACACAATAATGAGTCAATTAAAAAACCAAGACCTGTGCAAACCTAGTATAGTCGAACACAATGATGTATGATCTAAATTATACTTTTAAATGTAAATTGACCCAATGAAATAAAAAGATAATAATAATAAAGAAAGCATGATCCTCACATGTTCGATATTTTGCTAGAACTAGAAAAATAGACAAAAAAATCGAAAAAATGAAGCACATTCTACCAATCCAGGACAAAAAAATGCAAACAATAAAAAAGCAAACGTCCCTAAATGTGAAGAATCAGAAGAGAAGAGAGCAAAAAATGCAAAAGTAAAGATAATAAAGCAAATCTCAAGAGATTAATGGTGGTATTCGTTGGCAGTGGATTTATTAATGTTGGTTATCAACGGCAATGGATTTTTAAATGTTCAAATGAGAAAGGGGGACGTGAATTTAGGGTTAGATGAGTGTTTGAATGATAGAGATAGACCAATTGAGTTGTATTTTTAGTTTTTTATTTCTCACTTTTCTTTTTTTCAAAATGCAAAGTTGAGTTATTTGGATGTGACATTTTTTCAATTTTTCGTACTTCTTTTTTCATGTAGTTAAATCTCATTTAATGAACGATATGTAGGGTTTAAAAAATTCTCTGAAGGGACAAAAATGTTCAAAAATGACATTCTTGCAAAAGTTTTTAAAAAGTGAAATTTTTGAAAAGAGTAATGTTATTCATCCTCATTGGAGTTATAAACACAGTTTAGGTGACGTTAATGTGACATTAAATGATAGATGTTAATGTGATATTAAATGATAGGTGAAATTTAATTTCACATTTCATTTAACCTATCATTTAGAACTACTTAAATGTGTTTGTAATTACAATAAGGATAAATAACATTACTCTTTTGAAAATATAAAGCCAAGAAGTGACCTAGAGCGCAAATTTCTCCCTCTCTCTCTTTATATATGTATGTATGTATTTATGTATTTATAAAAATTAAAAACGACTTTTTTTAGGTCGTCGTCACCTCTCGCATGAATCTTCAAAATATTCTTTTGGGTTGCCCTTAGAATTGAACTCTTATAAAAAAAACTGTAGAGTATAATCAACTGCATTTATTGGAAACTTTATTTCGTTTTCTCAAACAAACAAATATCAATTCTTTGTCCCTCCACTTGGCCCAATAAGCAAAAACCACAAAAAAGTTGAATTGAATTTTCAGTTATTGCTATTGGAATATATATTGTTCAAAGTTTGACGATCCAAAAGGAAGGAAGTGTAGCAGGGGACTAATGGACCCTGCAGTACTGGACAAGATAATTGAGAAGCTGATAGAAGTAAGATCCTCAAAGCCAGGGAAATTAGTGCAATTATCAGAGTCTGAAATCAAACAGCTTTGTGTTGCTTCTCGTGAAATTTTTATTAGTCATCCCAATCTTCTTGAACTTGAAGCACCCATCAAGATTTGTGGTATCTTTCCCTTATCATATGCAGTTTTTTTTTGTATAAAATTATTTGCTTGATGTGATAAACGCAATAATTTCTTGGCTATGAGTGGTTTCCAGTGCTATTGGATGATTTTGAATTTTTTCTGTTTATGGGGGGGTTTTTTTTTTATAATTTCAGATGGGTTGGCTTTGTTTCTATGGTGGATATGGGCCATTTTTATATTCTTCCGTTGTTTATCTTTGTGTGTGTGTGTTTAATGGGTTGATTTTTGTGGTGCTTGAATGAACGTGAAGTCTCACTCAAAAATTTGGATTTTAGGGTTTTCTTTGGTGAGTCCCAATTCTATCACTTGTTATTAAGTTCTCTAAATTGTTTTCTGAGTGTATTATGTATTTTATTTGCAATGGATTTTATGATCCTTTCTTGGCTTGTGATAACTAACCAAAAACATATGCAAAAATGAAAATTTTGAGTCTCGTTGTGGATAAAATTGGGAATCGGCTGCATGAATCCTTTTCTGCACTTAGTTCAAGTCATTTAGCAGCTGAATCGTTAGCAAGTACAGCAGATCATATTAGTTTTGGTTTCACCTTCCTCTTTTGACTTGTTCTACCCAGATTTGAGAGAAAAGGTCTATACGAAACAAGTCACGACCATCTAAATCATTATCTCCTTAATTAACCAGTAATATATGAATATCTAAAAATGTTTAGTTGCTCCATCTTTTGCTTTCCGACTTCTCAGCTATATACTTGGAATATAAATCATATTTTAATTTTGTATGGATTATTTTTGTTCTGTGGCTTTGGCTTTACAGCTTGCAAATGAAGGTGCCAGACTATCCATATTGTGCAGATGATTAGCAAGTTTCTCTTTGTTAAACTATCAATTTAATCCATCATACCATTTCATAAATTTGACTCCAATTTGTCTGATACCTTTCAGTACTTTTGAGATTGATATCAAGCTCTCTACCTTCCTGAATTGAAATTCCTCGTGTGTAACAAGCGTTTGATAAAAATCACATTTTGAAACAACTCACGAAACTCAGTGTCTTTCATTACAATAAATGCGCGTATTTGACTTGAATCCCCCAGCTTTTTACATTCAGTACTTTTAGGGATGATATGAAGTTTGCAACTTTCCTTAAATTCCCCCTACCACATGTAGGAAAAATCACATTTTGAAATGACGACTCATGAGACTCAAGAACTTTTATTCGTTACAATATATGTGCACATTTGAATTGAATCCCCCACTTTTTCTTAATGGTTTTTTTGTGATTTTTTAAATCTAAAATCTAGCTTTCATTGATTGGAAGAAGTAAATACTGCACCACCATGTAAACCCTTTATCAAAGGGATTACATTGATAACAAGATATGTTCACCAAGCCTTACAAATAACTCTTTCCGTTGACTCAACTGTACAGATGGACGCTTAAAACTGTTAGTGTTGGTTCTCCAACGGATGGACAATTCGCAGTTTCCTTGGTTTTCTGTGTTAATCTCCTAGCTGAAGATTTCCCTCGCAATATCTTATTCTGTTCTTGACTTTGCAAGACTCTTGCAGCTATTTCAAATCCACCCCAGCTTCCAAACACACACCAAAAAAGAGAAAAACTGAAAAAGAAAAATGTGATAAGGGAACAGAAAAAGAACGAGTAAGAGAAACCTCTGCATGACAGTGAATACTTTTGTGTACAATTGGTACACTCATAATGTGGCTGAATTATTCCTTTCTTTCTTTCTTTCTTTTTTTATGTGTTGTTCCTTTTTATCTTAGTTGTTGTGTGTCCTATGCTCCATGCAGTAATGCGTAGGTTGTGCCGCCTTATAAGCTTGAACTATGTGCCAAAACAGAGTTCTTGACTACTCTGCACAGATTAACTTTTGTCATGGCTTGCATTCCTTTAAAAATTAAGTGTATTTGATTGCTTGATACATGTTTATAGTCATACCAAGTTTTAGGATCCGGTAGTTATATTTGTGTGAATCCTTTCCTTGTTTTAGTTTCCTTCCTTTCCATAATTGAAATAGTAGGCATTTCATTAGTTAAGTTACAAATTAAATCAACTAAAAAGTAGTAGCTTAGAAGCTTATTTCCTATATGCACTCAATTGTCACTTTGGTATTATCTCTATACGTTCATCTTTTACCAAAATATTGTTAGCTCAAATAGCACTCCTGTGCATATGTCCTGCCCCTACCTCAATTTCTTTTTTTCTTTTCTCTCACTGTCCTTTCACATTGAGTGAGGTGTGTTTTTTAAGGATTTGAATCTATGTGTTTTAAATGACCCTGATAGAGTAGTGGGGAACAAGAGGATCCACACACCTTAGCGAGTATGGGATAAGGTTTAGTGTGTACGAGTTCATAAGTCCCATTGTTTTAATGGCTCGACCTTTGCAGATTTTAGTAGCAATTTTGGTTATAGCTTCTTTTGAAAACATAACTGCAGTGTTTTTATTTAACACTTCTACTCTTACCATTTTTTCCTGACTGTACCTTCGGTTAATACTGTTTTGGTAAATGGCTTCTTTGGACATAGCTCGATGTTTTCCGTTGTTTTTTAAATTGAAATATCTTTTCGTTGATTGTAATGACAATGATGACAAACTTAAAATTTTTTTCCAATCATTTCAGGTTGGTTACATTACTCCCTTTTTGTTGTTCCTTTCAGTTTAGATCTATCTCTTTAGAATGGCCCAAGATCTAGTCTTTGCCACCACCCTTACAAATGATAATTCCTATTTAACACGTCTTTAACATGTTTTTCTTGATTTATTGTTCTTGTGAATGAGTTTCATTAGGTATACAAAAACATGCTCCACTGTCTAAGACATTATTTCTTAAATTATCTTCAGTCGGTGACAAGCCTCATTCTTGTACCTGTACTATGGATAAGGCAAAACTTGAATAATAACCGGCCAGCAAAAGTTTTCTTTAACTTCAAATATATCTTTGTATCGCGTAGAATCCTTATAACAATTCTCCGTTTCACCTAATATGCTCTAATGGCAACATGATCCTTTATTTTGATTTCTTTGTCATTCTTACGACTAAAGGGACATTCCATTTATTTGTTTTTGTCTATTTGACCTAAAATCTTTAGATTTCAAAGTATGCCTACAACATTTCAACTTATGATTTATTTCCCTATAGTCATCTAATCGGCTGAAACTATGTTATCAATGAATAGCATACAACCAAGGACTTCATATTGGATATGCGTCGTCCCTGAGAGAAGTCTTTCCATAAGGATCTAGTGCTGAAACTTAATGCAATATTATTTTACTAGGAAATTCCCTAGTAATCTATCCTGCTAGATTTAACGCTTGTGATTGCTCCCTTGTACAAATTCTTAAAACTATTGGTACATTTAATAGAATTTGTTTGCTTAACCTACCTGCACTTCCCTAAAAATCATATCATATGGTTTTTATAACTCAATGAAACCATATGCAAGTTTTGTTTCTTCTATCTATACTTATCCATTAATTTCTGAAATGAGTAAGTGGCTTTCATAACAGATCTACCTAGCATAAACTAAACTAGTTCTTTAATTTTCAAATTACACCTTAATTCATGCTCAATCACTCCCTTTTGTGAATCCATTGTTTGCAGCTCGCAAGTAGTCCTGGCAACCCCTCTATATACATGATAATGCTTATTTCTGTATGCATGGCCTGAATGCGTATGTTGACTGTAAGACCAAGATGGGGGAAAACATTGCTCTGTCTTTCTTTAGCATTTGCGGTCGAGTTTCTTTCACGTCTTGATAAGTTGTATAAATTTTTTGCTTTATTGGTTATTACTTTTTAACTTGAAAGAAATGGCTGGCTCATGCTGAACCTTTGAGTTAGTAAACCATTACCCCTTCTGTTCTATGAATAAGCTCAGAAAGCTAACCATGTCCTTTTTTACTTGGTTGGTTCAGGTGACATTCATGGTCAATATAGCGATCTGTTAAGGCTTTTTGAGTATGGTGGTTTTCCTCCCAATTCCAGTTACCTATTTTTAGGCGACTATGTAGATCGAGGAAGGCAGAATTTAGAAACAATATGCTTGTTACTTGCATATAAAATCAAATATCCGGAGAACTTTTTCCTTCTTAGGGGAAACCATGAATGTGCTTCTATAAATAGGATTTATGGATTTTATGACGAATGTAAACGACGGTTCAATGTGAAATTGTGGAAAGCCTTCACTGATTGCTTTAACTGCCTTCCAGTTGCGGCACTAATAGATGACAAGATATTGTGCATGCATGGTGGACTCTCACCAGACCTGGCAAACCTTGACCAAATTAGAAACTTACCCCGCCCAACTGCTATCCCGGATACTGGTTTGCTTTGTGATTTACTCTGGTCGGACCCTGGTAAGGATGTTAAAGGATGGGGAATGAATGATAGAGGAGTTTCATTTACCTTTGGCCCTGATAAAGTCTCAGAATTCTTGGCAAAGCACAATTTGGACCTTGTCTGTCGTGCTCACCAGGTAAAGGATTCTTCTATTCCGTCCTTGTTATAGTTCATGCTGTTTGCCTTATTTTACATTTTGTGTTTCAGGTAGTGGAGGATGGTTATGAATTTTTTGCTGACAGGCAACTGGTCACCATTTTCTCAGCCCCCAACTACTGTGGTGAATTTGACAATGCTGGTGCAATCATGAGCATTGATGAAAACTTAACGTGCTCTTTTCAGATTCTGAAGCCTGCAGAAAGAAAAAACAAGTCCATGATGTCCACAAAAATGTGATTGGTGCGTTGCTTCTTATTGGTTTTAAGGTCATCTCAAAATGATTTTCATGTTATGTAATGTCTCAGTTTTTTTCGTGATGCTTCCTCCTGGCTTTGCATTGGTATTGGCATTAACATTGGCATGGATTATTAAAGGGTTTTTTCCCTGTGGAAGGTGCATTAATGTTTCACACAAACTTGTAAGTCCGAATTGAGAATATATCATACCTAGTCCACAACCTTTAGCTCCGTGAGCATAATTTGGTCCATTTGGAGAGGAACAGTCAATTTTGGCGTTAAAGAATGATGTGGCAATCACATGCCACTTTGTGTGTGGGACAAAAAGGTCTCAACACTATTCCTTATTTTTAATTAAAATTAACAACAAATTAAGGGTAATAAATAACACAAGAAGAAAAAGAAAACTACTTGATCATCTTCTCCAAACACCTGACCATTTGCCTTCACCAAATCCCCTTCCACTAAGCCACTGTCAATTGGAAGTATAAAATTAATCCACAAAATACATATCCGTTGTCTTGAAAGCTTTCCTCGTTCAAATGCAAAATGCCTTGCCTCAACTCTCATCATTAAAAACACTTCTTAAAGCTTATGGTTATGAATGTTTGCTTTCTCCAATTTCATACGTTTTAATAGAATTTGCTCTGGGAACACTTTATGATTTGTTACTGTATGCAATAGAAAAGTAACAGCTGTTGCCATCTGTAAATGTACAAATGCTAATTTTTGACATTTCTTCATTATAAATATGAAATTAATCGGTTTCTGTACCTTGCAAATTTGTAGCACTTTTCGTTCAGTTTGTGCCATTAAAACTTCTTGTTTCTCCTTGTGCAGGCACCATTCTCTATTTCGAAGAAACTACAGTTTCAGCCCGCCTGGGCATCCTTCTGACCAAGAAATAAGCACTTGGCCCGCCTTTACTTATGGATGTAGTATGGTTAAGAATGACCTTTATTTACTGCTTGCCCTGGGGAGTATCATGAACTATAAGCTGTAAACGTTTTGTAATCCCTCTATAGAAAGGGTATTCTATTTAGATATTATTTGTTTGGAAACTCCAGATGGCCATTTTTACCATGGAATGTTGGCTTATTTTGCGAGTTTCCAGACTGCTTTTGAGGACTGAATTGTGTGTATTTTGTTAATTGAAGAGTATTTCTAAGTAGAGAGACGTGTTAATGGAGTTTATGTGTTTTATATTGGTGGCATGGATATGAGTAAGCACCTTTCTCTACTGGGATTGAACTGGATATAAGAGAAAAAGCATACTGAAGAATGAAATTGTGTGTGTATATATACTTATCATGGTTATTTGAGAATGAAGTAGAGTTGAACGAATGGATAGAATGACATTACAACAGTTGAGATTCGTACGAGGATGATTTTGGATCTTTACTCGTTGAATCTTGTAGTGCATTCTAGGCAGGTTAAGCAAGATGTTGGTGTACCTCGAAAGATATTTCTCAATTCAATCCTTCTTTAATCTTGTGGGACAAAAGATGCTATTCTTCAGATCATTGCAGTTACATTAATTCAGAATGATATTTTCCCTAACAATGCTAAATGACGCAAGTAAACTTAAGAGAGCCTTGTCCCACACACGATATTTGTGTTAAAAGTTACTTCTCTACATGTGAACGCATTACATATATGATTGAAAAATGACACTAATTGAAAATCCTTTTTGGGGTATTGAACATGACCTGTTTTTATATTTATAATTAATGTATACAAATATTACTCTGAATCTTAAATAATTCAATAATGCGACTTATACATCTTGGGTTGACACCCCCAATGATATTCCTCTCACAAAGGGGGGTTTGTGCGAATAAATAATATAAAAGAAAACGTTGACCCTCTAGGTGAGAGGGTGTCAACCTCGGATATAAAAGTAGCAGTATTGTAAATAATTTGATTATTTGAGATACTACAGGTGCAACTGGATCCTTTCTAATATGCATTAGTCATGGAATAAAATAATTCACATTTTGACGGTGATATTACACTTGATGGCTTTCCAAAACGTCTCTCCACATAATTTGATGTACGGGCAATTTTTTAATTGCTGACTTGGAGACTTTGAACAGTACATTTGGTAACGTTAATTCCACCACTCCCCAAAATTGGAAAACCCCCACAGCCATTTCCCGCCTCTCGCATGTTCATCCCCGCCGGCCATTTCGACAAATCCGACGACGGCGATTCAAGCAACCTCCGGCGACGACATTTTTTTGCCCCTACCGTCGAACCCATGTGAGCCACACTCTTCTTGTAGCTGTTTTTCCACTTTGACACATTTCTTCACTTTTTTATTTTAGCAATTTCTTTGTTTGTAAACCATGAAAAATGGTATTGCTCTTGACAGTTAATACAGTTGTTTAGCTTAAAATTTTGGCTTCAATAAGTGGTTGCTAAAGTTTTTCAAATGAAATTTATCTTTATCTGTGTGCATATTGTGTATTTCATGGTTGTGGAAGAGATGTAAACACGTTGATTTTGTAGAGGACTAGATGTTTGCCTAAAAAAAGTGACTGCATACAAAAATGATTTTGGCTCCATTTTGTTTTTTTATCTTTTAGGCCTGTTTGAGCCACATTTTTTGTAAAATGAGAATGAAAAATATAGCCGTTATTGGGGTCCACAAAAGAGATATAAAATTTGAATTTAAATGTTGATGTGATGGATAACGGTCATATTTTTCATTTTAATGAGATAAAAAGGTGGCCCAAACGGCGGCTTAGGGTAATTTTGTTGTTGGATATTATGCTTAATTTGTCCATGCAGAAAAAAATATGGAAGATGGCATTGATGATTTTTTGTTAGAAACCGAGAATGAGATCATTGCGGAGAATGAGAACTTAGTGGAAGGTCAAATGTCGGGAGGTGATGGTGTTATCGTGCCTAAGGTGGGTATGCTTTTCAATAGTGAAAAGGAAATGTTTGAGTTCTCCAAAAGATATGCATATGGCCTAGGTTTTCCCGTTAAAAAAAGAAATTCAAAAAAAGGGGCCGATGGAGTTATGAGATTTGTGACATATACTTGTGGCCGTGAATGCCCAAGAAGAAGTACTGCTAGCGGTTCTGTAAGGTCGCAACCAACAATCCAAATTTATTGTAAGGCCAGGATAATTGTATCTTTAGATGATAAAGGAATTTGGAGAATTAATGCAATCCACCTCAACCACAATCATAAAACAAGTTCATCGAAATCAAGGTTGTTTTGATGCAACAAAGAATTGAGTGCACAGGTGAAGCGAAAGCTTGAAGTGAATGATATAGCAGGAATTTCGTTGCACAAAAGTTACAACTCCGTAGTTGACCAAGCAGGTGGATATGAGAATATGAGTTACGTGGAAAAGAATTGTCGAAAATATGTTGAACAAGTTNTCTCACTAATAAGTACGACATCTATTTCACTCCCTTTGTTGGCGTCAATCACCATGGACAATCAACGCTACTTGGTTGTGGTTTGCTTTTAAATGAGGATAAAAATACTTTTGTCTAGCTGTTCAGAACATGGCTTTAGTGCATGCATGATTTAGCTCCACAGAGAATAATTACTGATTAAGATAGGGCCATGAAAAATGCAATTGAAATTGTTTTTCCAAATACGAGGCATAGATGGTGTTTATGGCACATTTTGAAGAAGTTGTAAGAGAAGTTGGGTACCACGTGGATAAGTGTTCAATATTTTCTGATATACATGGATTGGTGTATGACTCTCAATTTGTTGAAGAATTTGAAGAAGGTTGGATCACAATGATCGATAAGTTTGAACTGCATGACAATGGTTGGTTGTCGGGACTATACGAGAATAGAAGGCGTTGGGTTCCTTGCTTTTTGAAAACCACTTTCTGGGTTAGGATGTCAACAACGCAAAGAAGTGAGAGAATGAATGCATTTTTCGATGGGTATGTACATTCAAAGACCTCATTGAAACAGTTTGTGGAACAGTAGAACAAGCACTACGGAATAAGGTTGAGAAAGAGTTTCAAGCTGATTTCAAGTCGTATTCGCAAATATTACTGTGTGCAAGTACGTTTGAAATGGAGAAACAATTTCAGTCCGTTTACACCATCTCAAAATTTAGAGAGGTTCAGGAAGAGTTCAAAGGGAAGATGTATTGTGATCTAATATCTGCTTCAAAAAATTGTTTTGGGACAACGTACTAGGTACGCGAAGTTGTGGCATGTGGCGAGCGAATGAAGAAAAAAAAATTTTTTGTCTCATTTGAGAGGGAGAATTGTCAAATAATCTGCATCTGTCACTTGTTCGAGTTTCGAGGAATAATTTGTCGGCAAACGATATTAGTCTTGATTCGTAATGATATCACATCACTACCTGAGAGGTACATACCGAGACGATGGAGGAAAGATGTTAGTAGAGCACATACGAGGGTCACCTTGAACTACGATGGGTTGGTTATTACACCTAGTTAGGTGAGATATGACAGTATGTGTTAGTCTTTTGCTGCGGCGGCAGACCTAGATGCAGATGATGGGCAAACTCGCGCGATAATAGAGTGGATTCAATCGCATCGTAATGTTCTTATGTGAACATGGTTGAGTACTACCAGGAATGCCCTTGCGCATCATACGGTACAATCAGGAACCCAATGTACTCTATCACAAAATACTTCGAGCGGGAGCGTACTGGATCCTGTAGCATCGAGAAGAAAGGGTGCGACAAAAAAACTTCGAAGCAAAAGCCCATTGGAATCGACTTTGAAAAAAGAAAAGGTAACTTCAAACATTATTAGTCGAATTATTTCTAATTCTGAGTAGTAATATGGTTATGTTTTTTTCACATGCAGGCAACATCGACATCGAGCAAAGGAAAAATACCTAAACCCAATCAAAGTGCTACACCAATTGGTACACAGGATCTTTAGGCATTCATAGTTTTTGAATTCATCGCATTCATGGATGTATAGTTTTCAATGAGATGTTTGGATTGGTTTTGTTAAACACTTTGAATTGGATTAGTTTTGTGGAACACTTTTGTATTCAGGCATCTCTATTTTTTATTGTAATGTTTGGAATGCTTAACAATTATTTTTTGCGCTTTATTTCACACTTTGGATTGGATTAGCTTTGTTAAACACTTTTATGTTCATGCAATAATAAGAGAAACACTAGTGATAGCTAGAACCAATCATCAGAAATCATATTTCGGATCCATTTTCTGGAAATAGGCACAAAGTTCTCTACAAATAGTCGTACAAATGAAACTGCTACTAATCAAGTCGACCACTTTCGTTTTGCATTCTTCTCCATGAAACTGTTTCTTCCGATGCACGATTAGCCGAGCTATAGCCGACACTTGATTTACCACTAGATTCACTTTCTTGAACCCACTCCCAAAAACCGCATATCTGACTGTAGCATTAGTATAGTTTTCCTTTGTTATCAGTCTCCCTCTCCACCTTAAATCACTTATGGAATCCACTCTTGCAGTCTGGGCATCGACGTTTACTCCGGCATTCATCAAAGAAGTATCACTTGCCTCTACAACTATGACAAATTCCTGAATTCTTTCTCCCATTCTACAATGGGAATCAACCACAAACAATTAATCCAACATCGGTTTTAAGCACCAAACAAACACAAGAAACAAACTCGACATTGCAAATTACCAACCCGACCTAAATCATTGACTACTGCCGGCAACAAACATAAACAACATTTTAAATTCTCCTTCAAATAGCCTTTTTCCAATTCTCTTTCAAATAACCTCTGTGGCAAACATGATTTTTAACACAAAATTAGAGTCAATTGGTGATGCAAATAAAATGAACCCATACAAATTTTTTAACTAAAATGAACCAAAGTTGGTGATTCAAATAAAATGAACCCATACATTATTATATTTGGTGCTACAAATGCAATTAACCATCCCCAGTCAAATAAGTGAACCATACTCTGCAGCATAATTACCTAGTTGTTCTTGCGGGATAATGACTCCGTTGTTGAGTTAGCGAAGGTTGACTAGCGGGATGAAGACTCCAGTGTTTGAGTTAGCGGTGGTCGACATGCGGGATGAAAAGGTCGGCCTAGATTCGAGCTGAATAACTTGGAATGCTTGCGACCCCAGTCATTTCTCTTTTATGGGTTAAGATGTCGGCCTAGAGTCATATGGGTGGTTCGCCGGCGAGGAGAGTCGTGACGACCGGAATTTGACTTCTCTAATTTAGGGATATTCTGAGTTTGGGGATAAAATGCCACAGCCACAACCTTTCCTTTCTTTTTTGACCATTATTATCCACTTTTATTTCTCTTTCGTGTACTATTTTTTTACTATTTTTAATTGCATGTGTTAAATCTGTTCAAATGAGTATGGTCAAATAGTTTTTTCCTAATTTGATAGTGATGACTCCTTTATAGCTCCACCAGAATCTTGGGTTGGCTAGAGATTTTCTGACAAACTCATTCACCTTCGTCAGTCCGTCAACCCAGCTTCTTGTTTTGCAATGTGGACATCCAGTAGTTTATCATCAGGATCGATGTTGTCTGCGGTTACAAGACGTTATTCCAACAAGTAAGAGCATGATTAGGGAAAACTCCACTCAAGAAATGCTATTAGGATCCTGAGAATATGTTTTCCCTTCTCTAAGTACAAAAGGCTTTACAGGACAGGGTAGTGCTGTCTTTTCCAGATTCTCTAGTTATGCCAAGAGAAGAGGCGTTACACCAACCTTCACTGATGCAGCAGTAGGGTCACCGAGAAAACGGGAGCAGAAAGGTGCAGCAGTAGGGTCACTATTAATGCAATTAAGGTTAGATATATTTTGACTATTTTTTTTTTCAGTTATTCATTTTGTAAACCTTTGTCCGATCCTGTATTCCATACAATGTTCTAAAAAGCTTGTATTCCACTTGGTATTCTAAAAAACGCATCTAGACGACGTGAGCAAAACACTTTGCTTCGTGCTCGACACAATTTTTTTTTTTTTGGTGTGCCTAGGCTTGGTTTTTTTTTTTTGGGGCCTAGGTGCCTTTTTTTCTAGGGCAACTTACAAAACTACCCTTGAAATTAGGGTTCTTTTGAAAAATCATATGAAAAGAATTTTGAAAGTAAAAAATACGATAAAAATTAAGTGTCGGTTTTTAAAAAAGTAACACTGTCATTTTTTTACAGTTAAGTGTCACATTTTTAAAATAAAAAATACATACAATGTCACTTTTATTATAAAAAAAATGGCAACTACCAGAAAAATAATAGAAATTCAAAAAAAGTGAACAAAACGTTAAAAAAATAACAAAAATTCAAAAAAGTGACAAAATACCAATTAAAACATTGGAATTAATTCAATAAAGTGATAAAAAAAAGTGACACAACTACCGTCCCTCCTATTTCTTCGTTCACCGTCGAACATCTTTAAGTCGGGTCATTGACAAAACACTAATAAAAACGTCAAATATATTTAAGTCAATTCACCGCCACCATCATCTACCAACTCAACCAACATATTAATCATATAAAAAGTTTTTTGGAAGTAAAAAAAAAATACTATTTAAAGTTAAGTGTCATTTTTTTATTAAGAATTGATATTTTCCCGCAAAAGAATGACAGAAATTTCAAAAAAATGCCCAAAAAAAAAAAAGAATTAAATTCAAAAAAGTAACAAAAAATTAAAAAAGGTGATGATACTCAAAAAAGTAACGTAAATTCAAAAAAGTAACATATACTTAAAAAAGTAACGAAAATTCAAGAACGTGACAAATTACGTTCATGTTAAAAATTCAACATTTCACAAGAACCACAAAAGGGGAACACGAACGTAATCAACCATAGAGATATTTGTTAATGATTTTCAGACCAATATATGTTTGTTCAATGATCCTTTCATGCAGTTATGTATCAAAAAAATCAATTCTAGCTTCAAAAGGGACACTAATTTTGATGAATAAATGGAACCAAGTCGCATTATGATTCTTTTACAGCATAGTATTTCATCAAATTAGTAATCAGTAAAAAGTGATTATCCAATAACACATTACACAGTTAGTCTAACGGACGGCTAATGATGATCTATATTTATAACTAGTATCCAATATAAAACAATTCTATAATCAATAAAGTAAACGAATTCTCGTAACACCATTATTATTAAACCTACCATCCAATCTCTATATATACCACTAGCAACTGCTTCTCCCCATCCCTCTTCCCTCCCAAAAACCAGCTTAGAGCAAACCCATCTCCATGCAATCTCTATATTCTCAATCCAACAGTCTAATCACCATTCTCCACCTTGTTTACTCCTTTATGCACTTTACTTGGGTCACTATTTCTATTACCATAGTTATTACTATTCAGTCGGCAACTCGTATCTGCAAATTGGACAAAAATTCCGATCATATGTGAAAAAAAAAATAATAAACTTCAAATATGCAATTATCAAACATTTTGGGAAGAAAGATGAAACTGAGACTAAACCATATGGATTAAAGAGGGAGACGCTGGAATGGATGTTGAAATACCATCAAATGACAGTGGTTGGGTCTTCCGATGATGATAGGATATTAGGTGTGTCCACGAACCTCTCAATTGTACCATCCATATAGATTGTGAGAAAAGGAGAGAGCACGAAGAGCAGTTTTTTGGTGGTATTGGAGGGCATGACAGTGTTCAAATGTTGAAGACAAAATTCCTGACACTTTTTTATCTCGTAAACCTTGACAATTGCGTAGAATTATCTCTTGAATATCTTCTTCACTTTCTCACCATCAATGAAGAGAAATTAGGTAAACAGTGTACATAATTTGATTATGATGTGGTGCCTCCTTATTCTTTGCTGTGACAACATGGTGAAAGATATATTGGGGGGTTTAGGGAGGGGATTTGGAGGTTTTATAACGTATTAATTATGTGTTAAAATCGTTTAATTAGTTATTAGTGTATTAATCAATTTAGTTAATATTTCAGTCTATTTGGCCTAATTTACCCTTTTTCAATATAATATTTTATAATTTTAGATATTTGATAAGTATTATTTTAATTATTAAATGATTTTTAGATTGAATAAAAATTAAAAATAATATTAAAATAAGAAAGCTTTTTTGTTTTTTTTATGCCTTTATTCTCGCAGTTACTATTTTAGCTTAGAAATAAGAATTATGCTACACGTACATAATTTTTTACCTAATATTTTACCGAATTATGCTACACGTAGAATTTTCCAAGAAATAATCTTTGATCGTCCATCATTGATGTTTTCGTTGTCGATTGGTGAAGATATTTTCGGTGATGAATCATTGCAAAGGCCTGAGTGCTTTGAATTCACATTTAATCCCCTGTAATTTTGTGGCAGGGCAAATTCCCACAAATGCAGGAACCCACCTTGCAGCCCGATTTGCAGCAGGGACTTCATTTACACTTCAGCTTTTCCAGCGTACACTTGAAGAGACTCTTGCTTCATTTCAGAAATCCAATCACAAAGACGTTCGAAATCTTCACATAGAATTTTAAGACAATTCCATAAGCAGGAGGTGTATATCTGTTATTTTTCTTGTTTAGTCCTTTTTTTGTGTTTTCAGCGTGTACTACATACATGAAGAATCTGGGTGCAAGGACATTTTGAATGTTTGCTTGAGCAGGAGAGCTAGGCCCATAATTTCAGGACAGAGATCCATGGCCTTCTAGCTCATTGTTCAATTGTACATGTAGTTATATCCGTACTAGATAGAAAAAAGTACTGAAATTTTACAACCAACAACATAGTAAATTTAGCTAAATGCAAGCAATACAAATTCTTGAAATACCTAAATTTTCATTTTAAAAGTTCCCAAACGGTTCGACTCAAGCGTCTCAAGGACAGCCCATTCTGCAGATAATATCAAAGTCCATTTCCTGTTGCAGAAAAACCCATAATGCACACCAACCTTACTTCTTGATTAATCTCAAAACATCACCTACTAGATGCAATGAACCCGTAACTAGGACCTGGTAAGGCAATCAGAAAAGGAAAAAGAACATATTATTAAAATGGACCAACTCAATAAAAGGTAAAAACTGTAGAGTTTAATCTCAACTAAACTAGTAGTAGGCAAGTAATCATCAATGAAATTAAGGCCAAAATGAGTGTAAAAGCTGTGGGAAAATAGCCAGATAAAAAAAAAATTATATTCAGTTATTCACTAGCATTCTAAACTACCTTTCACACATCATTTATTGCTTTTCATCAAAAAAATCTTTGTTTCATTATCTGAGGACACCAGATAAGATCAAATATTTATGCATTCAAAAAGGCAATCAACCCTTATCATGGGAATAAGAATAACATTTGTTTAATTCCTCGAATGTAACCATGTTTTGTTAAAATGATATGGATGCTAGTTTCAAACAAGATATAACTCATCATCTTTGCATTCTGGATAATATTTGCAACAGAATTCACAATTACCTGGTAGCGAACAGATTGATTTTTTCGGATGTTGTCCCTGAGCCAATTAATAGCTAATGGTAGTGAAGGAAACACTGTACTGCTCTCACAATTCTGAATCCCTTTTTGGGTGTCATCAGGTCCTGCTTCACACGTTAAGTCAGCATTTTTTGCATCTGTACCTGTAAATTTACCGGCTATAAGATCGATATGCGATCGCAATGGCATTAGGCTTTTGTGGAATATGAAATAGAATGGCATCAGCCGAAAGAAGGAAACACAATCAGTCATTCACTTTCATTTCTCCTATAAAGTTCTTAAATTGGCACATTTGGTCTTCCCCTTTGAAATGCAGAAACCAGGAAGAAACAGTCAAACCACAAGTTCAATAAAATGGTTGAAACAACTTTAGACCACGACACAAATATGGGAGAACGTATTTTCAGGAACAAGAAGGTTTCGGAACATATTGTACCAGTCAATGATACAAAACTTATCAAGCCAGAGATAATACGTGCTACATATTGAATGATTTGGAATGCATAGCTCAGGCACCTTGTTGCTCAGATTTCATTGCAGTAATGTGTGGATGTCTCGAACATGTGACTTGCCCAACTAATGGGGACTCTAAAAGGTGTTTAATTTGAATAGTATGTTTTCCTTTCTAGATGGAATAACTCAACCACGAAAAAGTGGAGCTGAGCATTAGATATGCAGAGAACCCAAAATTAGTGGAGAAATAGGGTTACACTTTCGATATGTTTTCTACTTTTATTTACATAAGGGTCTCCAACAAAATGCCTGGAAATCCCATCCTCTAAGTTTCAAGAGCGGGACCTAACACGTCAGGATTGGACAAGTCATCTCTGGGAGGGTGTAAAACTGAATAAATATTGGAAGCATATTTGCAGATTTCCCTTAAAAAGAGTGTACACTTATGGAAGTTATATCATCTTACATGTAGCTGAAACACCTTTTTCCCCATGAACAAGGCCTTCCCATAGTCTTTGAAGAGTCAACTGCCACGACACATCTACTTCAGAATTTGTTGGAGGTGAGGCCCCAGTCCCTACCTTGTAATACACCGATGTGTTTGGAACAAATAGGGCATTCTTAAAGTGGACTCCTGAATTACCAATATTAATGTCACAAGGCTAAAGAGTACCAATGATTAAAATCTGAACAACACGCTTCAAACTAGATATCCAATTAAATTAAGAGTAGGTTGTATGAATTGGTGCATCTTTCACCGTCTTTTGGTTCCCCCTGTGTGAAATAGATTTGTAATTCACCATAGTTAATATTTACCATGACTTGAGCATGCATTCATCAAACGTGGAAGAAGCAACTGAGGGTCCCTCACGGACATGCAATTAAACAACAAAATCTGCAAGTTTTTCAACAAATCAAACTTATCAGCATCCACTAAAATAACATAGGAGTTGACAAAGAAAAAGAAAATATATAACTCAAAAAATCAGTGAACGTGTAATCAATAAAAACAAATATCTGACGGTCATAATACAAATTCAGCACTCCCTTCAACCCAATTACAAATTCCAGACTGTAAATTACCACAGAAAACGGATAATCCCAAACTGATCTATAGATAATAAATATTAAGACACGTGAAAATTATAAATGATGGACCAAAACATTACCTGAGTGGAACTTTTCTTTGAAGTTTTATGATTGTTAATATGGCCTGATTCATGTGGTGAGCTCAATTCGTTATGAGCCCTATTAGCTAAAGAATTATAATCTTCTTTGATTGCAAGACAAAACCATTTTGCACAGACGTCCATGCTTTCAGGACTATGAGCACCATCCAAGTAGAACACAAGATCCCCCGAGCTTTCATTCTCAATGAACCGATCAGGTACAATTTGGGCCCGTCCTTGCAGAGCAGCTGTCGTTAGCCCTTTAATGAATTCCTCAGGCAGAGAGGTCTATTTCAAAGCAAAAAACCAGAAGAATATTTGTTCAGTGGACATTAAAGGTGCCATAAAGTAAATTTCCCATTTCATATATCTTACAGTCTGGTTTAGGTAATTGATCCCCACATGACCTGTCCTCTGAAGCCAAGTTGAACATAGTGCAATAGCAAGACCAGCATTTAAATACTGGTGTTCGCCTTCAAGCCCAAGTTGCAGACCACTAAGCAAGATAGGGTCCACCGGTGATGCTAGTTGAAGATGTACCTGTTAGCAGTACGAGTGTTAAACATCATTAAATATATATTGGTTTATGTCCAGCATATCCGCAGAACTTTATTAGCCAGGGGCAACCAGATATGGCTCAGCATGTATTTATTCCACAGCCGCAATTATGAGCAATATCATGGGAGGCATGCTTCTCCAAGGTAAAAAATTCAAGTCCATAATCACTCTCTAAGTTGGGCATCTTAAACAGTATATCACAAAAAAAAGCCATTACATTTAATTTCATTTTAATTGCTTTCTCAATCACTTCTTTATCCTTATTCAATATGCAGTTTCTGTTCCTCAAAAGCCAGGTTCCTCCATCTTAGACCTTATAATATCATATTTTACATTTATCTCTTAAGCCAGATAGACAATCAATCTATACTTTCCCTAAGTACAAGTAATTCGTTCTTACCATCAGCTAGACAAATCAATACATAGTCATCAAGTTTTGAATGATAAATCTGGGTTGCTAAGGCTTGTTTTGAGTCACACAATCCAATTTTGAGGCAATTCAAAGGAATCACACAGACGCAATTTAAACTCACATTCAGCAGTGAAGCCTTCTCTTCAAGAACAGACATGGCTTCTTCAGGCTGTGGTACAGTAAATGCTGGAACGCCATGCTAATTTCAAGGAAGAGAGTGGATCAAGAAGAAACAAGAGAAGAAAATGGAAAGAAAACAAACTGAAGAGCAAAAAACCCTGCAATTACTGAAGAAATGAAAACTTCCCGTTACTAAATCTGACAAAGAACATGTGACTTCCATAATACCTTGAAGATCCCAGCCTTCTCCCCAGCAATTTGTCCAAGAGTATTTCCTGATCATGGTACTACAAATATATAAGAACATGGCATATTATGTACAATTCAGCTTTATGTAAAGTCAAGCACCAGTACAAAACTAAAGTTAGGAAACTGATCAGGGGAAAACTTTTAGTTAAATTGCAGCGTCTACTATTTATACTGAACCTTGGAGGGACCAGAAATTCAGATTTCTATAATTGAGCATATCTCACCTAATCCTTAGCAACTGTCATAAATTTATTAAAGCTCATTGGTATCTATAGCAATCTATATATAGATCGTCACAAGTTCTGCACAGTATTGTGCAACAAAAGATGCCAACATGACATGTTTGCTCCAAGAAAATTCCATTTCGAAATTAACTATTTTGCACTTTCTATTATGAAATGCATGAAGAGTGCAGCTGATAACTGACAATAAAGATGGTTTATTAAGCAACAATTTTCTTGAAGATTTTTTTTTTAAACAAACGAAGCAACAGAATTATATGTTTATGGACCATCGCATATGAGATGGAAGTCCATAGAACCAAATTACAAAGAAATATAAATTTTTGAGTCTGGTATGGAAGGTTTGCTTGCAGTTTCTCTTGCATAAACATGATGATAACCCTATAATTCTCTATCAGGCGCCCTCCCCATTCTCACACTCAATAATGTCCCAATACCCTCCCAGCCATCCTGACTGCAACAACAAATAAAGGATTTTAATTGGTTTAAAAATATCACGCAGATACTATGTATTAGCTTGCATTACTGTTCCTTCCATGAATACTTACATATATATAAGCATTGTTTATTCACGCGGAAGTTTTTTGATTATCGAACACTACATGCTAGCAGACAAACTAAGGTTTTCCATTGATAGCAATAACTTCTGGATTTTGAGACCAAAATATATTAAGATTAGGCAGTCACCTAAATATGATGGACAGAAAACACTAACCAAGAATTTCCATGTGGTCGTAGCCCTCTCTTCAATATGGTGTTTGTTAAGGTTTTTCGACCTGAATGGATAGCATTTATCGTCATGTTAGAAATCCGGTAAGCACTAACCTTTCATGGAGAAATGCACATTGATCAGGCAGATCCATCCATGATTGAATATAAATACTGATATCTAATCCAAATTTATGTATATGATGCACACCACATTTGTTGCATCAAATTTTCCGCCCAAACCAACTTCCAGAATAGCAACATCTACCTGAATCAAACAACCATTCATTTTGAGCTAACAATCTTCAATATGAGAATTCGTATGTAAGACTACCTTCTCAGCTGCAAATATTTTGAAGGCAAGTAAAGCAAGGAAGCGAAAATATGTGGGCATTGGTACCTCGTCACTGGTTCTTTCCTGCATGGAAACAACATTAGACACTAATAAGAAGGAACAACGGAGCAAAGGTATGGTCTACCAGAAGCAGAGTATTAATGCTCCTCTTAGCTTATCAATAAATAGAAGCAATTTGGTTTCTTGTGCAGCATCCACAAATAGGGGAGTAAATTAAATGATCCGAACCAAAAAATAGGTCCTTCAAACTTGGCTTGATTTCTTAGCAAACTTCCAGATCCGTTGTGAAATACAAAAAACAAAATTTCATTTCGCCCGACTCCATGTATGAATAAAGTGGTCAAAGGGGTAGTATTAAGTCATATAGAATTGATTGATTCGTGGTAAACTAAAATCTCATTGTGATGAAGTTTTAATGTACCAATCTCAAACAGGTTTGACTGGAACGTGAGCAGATACTTAATATGCATATTAATTTCAGCCAATCGGCAAAAAAGGTTACGTTCCTTAGTCGCCTTTAGGACTTTCATTCTAATAGTTTCTAATGAACTGCTAGATGAGACTATAATCAATAAATTCAGAATTTTACAACAAAAAGGGGGAATATTTCATTGTGTAGGAAATTCAATACCGCCTCTACATCAAAACAATAATAAAACCAATATGGATTTAGCTGAATCATGATAGTTCTTATCTTGATCCTAGAAATCACCAAGAACAACCAGAAATTTAGTATGTTTGAAGCCTCCCTGTCCAGATGGCAGCGATAATAAGTGACAGATTATGAGAGTTTATAGCTCATATCTACAGAGCTATCAATTTTCTCAAATATGAGATTCATAGAATAAAGTCAACAATGGCTTCCATACACATCATAGGCATCTACATCTACCTTGAACTAAGTTATTACAAGAATTTCCAAATACTGTCAACGTGATTTTGATTATGATATAGCGAATTGAAGGTGATTCATGAGTTGTAGAAATCATTTCATTTTCTCAAGATTTGACATAAAGAGCAATCTTGTCATATAGTAGAGTAGCTAGCAAACCAAATCATGTTAAAGGCTTCACAGGAATTGGCATTTAAAATAAATAATTATGAAGAAAAGAACAGTTGACGTGCCTTGAGTCGATTCCAACACCACCAGAAATATGTCAAAAACTTTTCCGCGCAAATATCTATACTGAAACATCCAAGCAATACAAGAAGTCAACGAACTTACGCAATATCTTGTATTCGTTTAACTGGATCAACGAAAAAGATAGTTTATAAAATGTCTTAAAGCCTGCTCAACATGCTAAGAGGTAATTACTTCTATCCTCCTTGAAATGGTAAACACTTACCCATCCAATCGAAATCTTTCTCGAACATCGATGAGGTGGGGAGATGTAAAAAGTCCAGTATGGAAGCCACAATTACGTAAAATTGATTCCGTAAAAGTGCAAGTGGATCCCTTTGCGATACAGTTCCAGTATGAAAACGATATCAGTGTAAATCTCATAAACAAACAGTCTTGAAATTGCAAAAAATTCAATCAATCATCTAAAGTTTCGTTATATAAACCATAACTATCTCAACATCCAATAAACAAAAAATTCATTTGGTTACCTTTCCTTTGGTGCCCGCTACATGAATAATATTCATCTCTTTTATTGGCTCCTCTAATTCCAATATCTACAAGACATAAAATACCAAACAACATATGTAAAGCTCCAATACAAAACTTCCTTCGGACAAAATCCAATTAATTCAGTAATTATAAGTGAAAATAAGATACCTTGATATAATCAAATAATAAATCAAACCGATCGCCTTTATTGCTCTTATCAGCACGACTACGTTTGGTGATGAGTGAAGATAAAGCCTCCATTACCTCATCGTACTGGTCTACCTTCGGCGATTCATTGCCGTCTTTAACAACATCAACAACAAATTTACACACATCACAAAAAGTATTTTTCCAAAAATTCAACTACTGCATACAAAGGTTATTAAACGGAAGCATTGGCGTATGAAAACAATTAAAACTGGATTTAAATCAGATTACAATTCGGAGTACCTACCTAGCGACATTTCTTATATGGCGCGAAGATCACGGCCTGGAAATGCATATACAAATAAACAATTAAATTAGTACATACGCGATACAAAGACATGTAATTTTATGTTCGTATAGATGAAATCAATACGTCTACGAGGAGAAATTGGTGTAAGGAGCTTACCAGGAGTTTGTATTGACGGTTGGTGAGTAAGAGAAGTAGGATGAATAGAATGAGCGGCTTTTAACCCAATAGGATAGGTCTTGTCCAGAAACGGAATCCTACGAATTGGGCCGGTCCGAATCGGTGACAGTGTCACAGCTGTCAGTGACACGCGAAAGGCAGAGTTTGGTCTATGCTATTTTTATTTTTTATTTAAAACATTGGGATGCTCCTCGCATGATTGATTCTTTTTATTGTTGTACTTATAATTGACTTTTATTAACTTATTTTGATTTGGTACTTGAGAGTGAGTAAGCCTAAGCTACAAGTTTTGGTTTAAAGCCTTGTTTGACTTTTTTTTTTTTTTTCAAAATATATTTTTCTCTTTTTTTTTTAATTGCACGTTGTTTATTAAAATAATATTACACATAAATTAAAAATTTTCATTCTTTTTTAATCACACATTTTCTATCAATCTACTATTATAAAATACATTTTCAAAAAGAACGAGGCTCGAACACTCCCTAAAAGTATGAATAAAGATTGTGTATGATTGATGAACTCGTGAGTAAATAAAGTATTTTGATTTATTTTCTTGTCGTTGTGAATGTCTTATGTTTAATTGGATTGATTCGATTTTATTAAGTCACGATTTATTCTTTCGCTATCTCAATGAATAGTATTGTTAATAATCAGATATTACAATAGTCATTTTATGTGGTGATTTGTTATTTGAGACATTAATTTTCTGTGATTCTGTTGTCTCAAATAACAAGTTAATGTATCAAATAACAAGTTATGTGATGACTATGGCAGTACTATGAATAACATTTCTCTATTCTAATAGAAGTTAAAATGAGAAAGATACCGCATTAGGAAATGAATATGATGAGATAGACAAAAATTAATTATCCTTATAAAATATTTAATTATGACCTAAATTATAAAAATATTCCAAAGAGAAAATCAAATTGCCAGACCAGAAAAAAAGGACAAAAGCTGCCCACTCACTCGTCGATCCCACAAAAACGTCACTGGGTATGGGTTTCTTGAACGCAACATCTAAAGTAAACTCGGTCTATTCGATAGATCGAAACACAGACTGCATGTTTTTATTTTCCTTTTCATTTCAATTTATTTCGCTTGCAGCAGTCAAAATCAGAGTCTATTCCCCCAAAAGAAACTCCCTCTCTCCAGCTGTTAGATCTCGCTATTCTCCCAATTAATCGGAGGAAATTGTTATGTCAGACGCTTTGATCAATGGCCTGGCCGGTGCTGGTGGCGGCATCATCGCTCAGCTCGTAACCTATCCACTCCAAACTGTAATCTGTTAAACAACTTTTGTTTATTTGATTTTTTTTTTTTTGGTTAGTGTTGAGTTTTGCTTTTTTGTGATATTTGATCGTGGTAGGTGAATACGCGGCAACAAACGGATCGAGATCCGGAGAAGCAGAAGAGAAGTCTTGGGACTATAAAACAAATGTCTCAGGTATTCTTTCTTTTTTTTTATTATTTATGAAATTTTAGATTACGTGTTTGAATTTTCTTTTCCCCCTTTTTTTTGAAAATTGATTTTGTTATATTTACGGTAATAGTAAAGAAACGATTCTATTTGTAGGTTGTGAAGCAAGAAGGATGGGATCGGCTGTATGGAGGTTTAACTCCGTCCCTGGTCGGCACTGCTGCGTCTCAGGCGAGTTCATCTTACTTCGTTCTATTCAATTGCTTCTAATGCGGGCCACGTTCTTAGTTATTCTGCAACTCTCTTATTATTGCTCAAAGTTGGTTGTGCATTTTTCTCATAACGATGGCATCAATTCTTGGTTAAGCAAGAAATGGAGAACAGAAATAAAAATTGACTTGCGATCAATGGGATATTGCATGACTGGAGTTTGGTGTAATGATACTTGATGCACAAAAAGAAAAAAAAGGTGCAAAAATGAAAAAACAAAGCTGCACTTGAAGTAAAATTATTTTGGTGATGAATGTAATGGTATTGCCCGTTAGTTTTAGCTGATTTTGACAAAAGTTGATGAAATACGAGATTGAAGAATTGATAAAAAGTTGTTTGGCCCTAAAATACATGATTAAAATTGAAGTTTGATAAATTGAAAAATAATAAAAATAATAAAAAAAGAGAGAGATTAGCAAAGTTTTATCATAAAAAAAACACATAAGTTGGTAAACGAATTGAAGATCTATTGTCCAGGTTACTGGGAGCAGCCCTCTGCCCTAGAGGGACAATAAATTGATGGGAATAGTTGGCAGATTGGGTATTGTGTGGTCCCCTGGCATGGGCAAGTGTGCCATGTTGCACACACTATTTGAAAAATTATCTGCCCTAGTTAATTCTGGCAGTTGCTTGTAAACACTGTCCACCCATATGGTATTAAGAAAATACTAGTAATCAATATTGAAGCAAGGGAAATTAGCCTAATGAATATTGTGCGCTAACTCGACATATTGGAGTGATGTTGTTGACTGTTATCTCTAATTATAGCCCAAGAGCCCTGATTTTTGCAAATAAATCCATGATGAAGCGTATGTTGCTTAGAATCAAAATTAGTAGGAGAAAAATTCAAATTTGATATGAGATAGATAGTGATTAAATCAAAGTGAGCCACTTCCTTAAAATGTTTATACTGAAACCGTGTTTTCATAACAAAAGTAAATCTGCCATCATGCTCAGTTTTGCTTCTTTTGTCCCCCCCCCCTTGATTTATTGTCCTTATATTTTCTTTATCTGTATCTTGTTTCTTTATTAACCAAATCAAGACAGTGAGTGGCTGCTCACCTGATATCACTTTTTTTTTTATTTTAACTTTGCAGTCTAGGGTTAAAGTTTACAATAATAGCTGAATACATATACAATTGGCTTCCAACATGTGCATTTATTATTAATTTCGCTTAGGCCATTTCAAAATGAATGCTTCTTTTATGTTTTAGGCTATAGCAGATTGACGTTCATCTTCCTAAATGCTAATGTCTCAAATAGTCAAAAGAAAAAGAAAGAAAGAAAAATGAGTTACATGTGACCTAGTTTGTGACCTACTTCACTTTAATAACACACTTTTCAGTTCCCACTTAAATAATTGTGCCTAGTCAAACCCTGAGATTGGTTATGGTATTCTGTACGTACTGCTTATTAGAAGAAAGTATGTGTGGTCAGTCTGTTTATGTGGCAGTCTTTTGTATAAAATTCATAGTTATTGAACCTAGTGTGAACTGTAGTACTAGTAATTTTAGTGCTGATATCATTGTTGTAATAATCAAGATGAATGATGAACATGTAAATGATTTTTTCCCCCATATTGCTCTCCCTGATTTCCTTTCCCAGAAGACCAGAATGTCCCTGATAGCTAAAATATACCATTAATAATCTTCATTTATGATTTGTTGTACAATTATAATTTTTATAGTACGGGGATTGATTTTTTTCATTTTATTTTTAATATTTTTCTCCCTCGTATCCTTTCCCTACAGAAGCAAAATTTTTTTGATAGCTAAAATACGACCATTAGTTATCTATGTATCTTATTCAATAATAACTTTTATGGTACAGGGTGTTTACTATTATTTCTATCAAATATTCAGGAACAAGGCCGAAGCTGCTGCCCTTGAACGTAAGAAGAAAGGCTTTGGTGATGGATCAGTTGGAATGTTCTCATCACTTGTGGTGGCCGCTCTATCTGGGTAATATACTTGTTGGATTACTTACAATGTACTGTTATTCTAGTTGTCCTGTGAAATTTGTCAAGTGTCCTGTTCCTATATACTTGTTATTTACTTATCTCTTGCCATTATTATTCATGACCATTATTCACATATGGAGTGTTCTATATATTCACTAGTTCTTCCTAAAGATATCTTCTAGATTCAAGTTCTTTATAAGCCTGTCAATTGGGCTCTAAGAGCCAGAATTGGAGGCTCATGCCTTTCCAATTAAATCTTGACACTCACAGGCTCGATGTAAAGTTTTCTATCTAATTCATCACATTAGCATTTGCGAGGTCTTAATCAAGTTTGTGAAATATTGGATGAGCATATGTTATGTCTCATGTTTGAAGAGAAGACGAAAGAGAAAAAAAATTATGATTACTATTATTTATTATTTATTTTTTTTGCTTTCAAAGAACTATTAAATAGATCGGTTCTGTGTGTTTGATTTTCAAATTTCTACTCAAAAAAGAGTATAAGTTAAGTCGACTAAGTTATACAAGTAATCATGGGTAAAATTTAGATCCGTTCAATGTATTACCTTTGGCCATAAAACTTTTATAAGATTTATCATGTAAGGCACTAATTATTGCTCTTTGTTAAATAACGAATTTCACAAGCAACACTTAACAAGAATTATATATATTGTATTACTATATCATTGAAGTTTAAATTCTCCCAGACTAGTTCAGGTTCACTTAAAGCTCAAATGCAACTCATGTTTTTTGGATTTCGGACTGCAATTATTCTCAAGTTTGCTTTTACTCAAAGCTCTGCTTTTAGACGAGCTACCAGGGCAAGCAGGTCTCAGGTTTGAAGTGCTTAAATGACGGTCTCATTGCTTGGGAGACTGTCTTATTGACTACGAGTAAAATTGGTTAATGTGAAAATGTTAGTTTCAATAGAAACAATTGGCAAGCGTCGAACATAGTCACTAAAATGCAAAGCATTCCTAGCTCCCAAGACGTCTGGGTCCTGGGACAACATAAGCTCAATATTTCAGAAACTTTTCAATAAATTTAGACTGATATAAGTTAATTCCACCAATATTTGAACAAATCAGTTGTGAGGCAATATTAAGAGAAGCAACTGTTAAGAAGAAAAAAGACAGAAATATAAAAAATTTAATAAAGAATGTGTTGTGCTTTGCTTTGCTTATTTAGTTACTTTTCTTTGCTTATTTAGTTACTTTTTTTTTTTTTTATAGAATGACGGTGCTTTAACACTAAAATTACACGGGGTATACCTAGCTTTGAATTTTGATTCTTGCTGAGTCACACTTTTAACAACTGAAATTACTGTGTATCATTTTCTCATGTTTAATTGTTCATTCATACACATTTTCTTTTCTTGTGTTACACCAGTTAGATAAACCTCCTACCACAAATTTCTCCATGTGTTATGTCACTCAACATGTAATATGTGTACATAGACCAGTGAATGCTTGGACTTTTCCTTCCTATAGGTGTGTGAATGTGCTGCTGACTAATCCTATCTGGGTAGTTGTGACTCGCATGCAGGTAACTAACTCTGCCCCTTTTTGTGTTCGTCTTGAAAATTAGGTGCATTATTGTTTGAACTGATAGTCTAAATGGTTTCTTACCTTCCTCTTTTGCAATTTTGATATGTTCCTGAACTCTTCTTATCCCATAACCAGAACTAATTTATACTGATTTATCATTCATTAAAGATGTAAATTTTATCGGCGTCTTCATTTATGCTACAGATGCGAATTTATACCATACTTTGAACGTGAGATATTATAAAAATGTCGTTATGTTTTTGAGTAATCAGGTGATTGTTGAGATCGTTTTATTTTGAGGCTGTAGCTGTACTAAGTCATATCAGATAATTATTATTCAGGGTATTAGTTTAGAGGACTAGCATGTGTTTTGTATTTACATTCCATCCTTCCCTGCCAAAAGGGTGAAAGGAATCCCCATGTAAAAGAAAAGCACATTTCTTCAATGGAATATGAGTTTAGTTTATGTTTTATGATGAAATTATTGGAATGAGTTATCGATCTTAATTTTATTGCACTTACCAAGTCTTCGTGTTATTCTTGGTAACTGTCTTATAGACTCATACAAAAAAGAGTTTACCGAATCATGGTGAATCAATATCTTCGGAGACTGAATCATTATCTTCCAAAGAAGTAGTTCTTGCTGCAGCAGAACTTCCTCCTTATGGAACTAGCCATGCGGTATGTATATGTTTTTTTTTTTTTTTTGGTGGTATAATATATGGTTTCATAGATTGATTTGCAATCTATTTCTGTATTATTGGAACTAGCATTTGAAGATTTCAATATATATTGAATGTATCACCTAAAGAACTTTGCTTTGGATGCCACGAACACTGAATCAAGAAAATTTGTACTTTTAGTGCTTTGATTTTGATTTTTTAAGTACGAGTATTTACCTCATAAGCATCTTTTATTGAAAAGGGCAGACAAAGTATGTTACTATTGCTCCAGATATGGATAGAGGCAAAGAAAAAGTTGCAGTAACTAAATTAACTTTTTCTTTTTCCCACTGGTTGGTGCAGTGCACTGATTTTCAACATGCTCGGTGTTCTTGGAATAAGAATGTTAGTTGCATCTAGAGAATAGGAGATTGGCTTGTTTATAGTCAACATGATCGGGAATGGATAAGAATACGAGAGACTTTTGTACCATGTTCTAAAATGCGCGAAAATGCGCCGCCTAGGCGCGATGCGGGTGGAAAACGCTTCGAATTCGGGGTATGCGCGAAAAATACGTTTCTGTTCTAAAAGGCGACATAATGCGCGCCTAGGTGGCGCATTATCCCGTCTAATCCCTTCTTTTTTTTTATTTGGTAAATTTTTTTTATGATATATTAAAAAATCTATTTTTTTATATAAAAATATATTTAATACCTTAAAAATAATTAAAATAATATTAAAAATACGAAACGCATTATTGCGCTTATTCTTCGCATTGACACGTCTAAACTTGTGATTCTTGATTCTCGACCTCGACGCCTCGCAACGCATTACGCCTTTTAGAACATTGCTTTTGTGTCAAATAACAGATGTTGAGTTATTTTGAATAGTTCGGAGAATAGCTCTAAATGATTTGGCAAACCTTGTTAATGAGCAAAGATACGAGTAGGATAATCAGAGGAGCGTGTTAGTGGTCATTTTAGCACATTTAAGGATTAGAGTGCATTAAAAATCGTCACTTTTTTTTTTTTTTTGATAAACATGGATGTCCGGATCAATTTGCGCGCACCTCGACTAATTTCACGGGGCCCTGAAGTTTACAGCCGGGTATTCACTTCAGTGGCCCCGAGGAGACTCGAACTGGTGACCATTGAGGAGTAAACCCAAGACCTGACCAATTAAGCAACCTCTCAGGGTTAAAAAAAAAACGTCACTTCTAGAAGAGCTATTTCAATTATATTAAGGTAATGCTGGAAAAAGGAAGATGACCAGATTTACATGGTTTTCAATTAATTTATCTTTTGACCAACAAGCTAGGATCCCAAATAGTTGTTTTGGTTATTGCGTTCAATACCAGTTCTTTATCAGGTTTTCTTCCTTAAGAGATCGGTGAGTAGTCACTAGTATTTGCGAATGAGTTGCTAATTTTTCTCAGGTTTTATGCACAAACTGTTTCACGTCTCCACTAACAGGAATATAGATAAATGACTAAGAATTTTGCGCCATTTTTCTAACTAGAATATTTTGCTGTGCAGATTCATGAAATTTACGGTGAAGCTGGAGTCTGGGGATTTTGGAAAGGTGTTTTCCCGACATTGATCATGGTACGTCAGAAGTGACTTTAGTAACTGCTGTTGGGTAATTACTGATTTTCCTCCCTGTTGCCCACAGGTGAGCAACCCTTCAATACAATTTATGTTGTATGAGACTCTCTTGAAAAAGCTGAAGAAACGACGAGCTTCAAGTGGAAAGGCTAACAACGACGTCACTGCTTTGGAGGTAATCTCTTGCTAGTTTCTCAACTTACCGTATCCGTATGTTAAGAGACCACTAACGGAATTCTTATTTTTGATGTGCAACCATTGTTGTGCTAACGTAATAAAATTTGGGATAGATATTTTTGCTTGGAGCGTTGGCAAAACTTGGAGCTACAGTCGTAACATATCCTCTCCTTGTTGTGAAGGTAAAATTCATTTATCTTCTTATTAATATATTTATTTCTAACTAAAGTTCCTTGTGGTGAAGCTGTTAATATTAAGATACTAATGTTAAGTACTTACCATGCATGTGTTCGCTTACATTATTTGTAACTTAAAAGTTACTTCTCCTACCAGTCAAACTTTAATTCCAACCACATATTCAAAACTACTAATTATTATCCACACATTTTATGGTCCCAACCACTATTCCCCTCTAAAAAGTTACAAATGATCGAATCCCGAACAGAGTCGAGGTGTGTTTTTCTGTTGTTTTCTGTCACTAAGAAAACTCCATGACTTTCAATTAGCATCATCATTCTACAAATAACTAATCATAAGATTTAATGTCTATTTTTCTCAAGGAGGCGGCAATCAAAGTTCTGGTCCAAGTGCTCATTGTAATTTTCCGCCTGAATATAAATTTTTTTTTTTTTTTTCGCAGTCAAGACTTCAAGCAAAACAGGTAACTAACGGAGACAGAAGGCGTCAATACAAAGGTTGTATTTATACTTCAACTTTGGTTTCATCAGTCTAAAAAATCCACTAATTTTTATTTTGATATATAAGCGCAAAGAAGCGACATGATAGTTTTTGTATTGGCAAGTCACCTTCATTCTGCATTTTCACCTGTGCGCTGAATGAAGAAAAGACTGTGAGGCTATTTTTTATGCTGTGCAGGCACCTTAGATGCTATACTGAAGATGATAAGGTATGAAGGGTTTTACGGTTTTTACAAGGGGATGGGGACGAAGATTGTACAAAGTGTTCTCGCGGCTGCTGTTCTTTTCATGGTTAAGGAAGAACTTGTCCGTGGGACTGGGCGGTTGTTAACAAGGGGAGCCATTGATGCCGTGAAATCAAAGCCTATGTAATGTCACTTTTCGGTTTCTCAAGATTGTCCTGGCAAGATACAGGGCTCGCAGAAGTTTTCTATGTTCCGAAGCAGGTATAATACCTTGCAATAAACAGAAATGCTATTCAAAATTGAAGAATAATAGAATGTTTCGTAGTTGTAGTGTATGCTAGTTCATCATGCCCCTGCTGTTGAGTAGACATTTCCCTTTGTTGTAATTGATAACAGATCATCTAATATTTGGTACAAATATTCAATCTTAATTATTTTAAACGAAGAATATTGCCAGCAAAAATAGAAGAATAATGCTATCTAGTACTAGTGATATTGAACGTTAGTCTGGATGTCAGCATATTATATATTCTATTAAATAAATTATAATTCTTTAGTCTGGTGTTAAAAATTGGTAGTGTTAAATAGTATTGCTCAAACTGGAATGAAAAAAGGAAGTTATAAATCACATCAAGTCTTTTTATGAATACTAGTGGGTGCACGTGCGTTGCACGTGTAGTAGCAGTACAGTGTAATTAATAATGTTTACATTTGGTTATGTGGTATTGCAATGAATAATAAAACATGTTTGAAGGAAGGATGATCATATTGGGTTATATGAAATGTGTTTATGGATACTTACATTAGTGATGGTAATATAAAGCAAAAAACAAAAGATCTTATGTGACATACTTGGATACATGGGTTTTAACATGTCTATATGTACAATAAACAAAATTTGATAAGGCAAATAGTGCTATTCAGAGTTAGGCAGTGGACTCTGGCTATAAGGATGCAAAAGAGATTCAAAATACATATTTTCAACTTATGGACTACTACTCCTGCTTTTGTTTTTTGGTTGGATGTTTGTCAGCTTCTTGTATAAATGGTGTCTTGATTGTTGAGCTGCTAGGTGTAGTGTTTGCATTTGGAAGTTGAAATTTCTATGATGTTTTTTGTTGTATCATATTGGTAGCCAGTTGATGTTGAAGTTGCAATTCAAGGATAAAGATGACTTCATATGGGGCTTTGTTGGTCGTCGCTTCTACATTTACAATTTTTATGTATAAGATGTGCTCTTGTGTAGTAGCTGTCTGAATTGTAGAGTTGTTCTCCACGGATTCCTGTTAGAATGTTTATGAAAAGCAGTTAACAATACATTTAGGGGGGAAAATAAGGAGGTATGTAGAGAAATTTAATTTTTGGATCCATACTTAAGCAGTTTGTTTCATCAGTTCTTTTGCTGGGCATTTCAGGAATGTTTCTGCCAGATTTCCAATAATTGATGCTGTTATCGAGCCTGTGGAATCTTGTAATTCGACGGTTGCTCTTGCTCTGTTAAAATAGAATTAGAATTGTTGTTGGTGTTGGATGGTTTATGATCATTAGATAATATATAATGCATAGATTCATATAGATGATGTGGTTGTGACATGATTATAATCATACCTTGGAGTTAGTGTAGCGTAATTGTGCTTGCAAAATCTACAGAAATATGTTTCATTCACATTTGCACTTGCTGATTTATTGCAATTGTCACATGATAGATACCATAGTGGTTGGTTTAATGGAACTAATGTGACATTTGCTTTTGTCCATAAGTGTTTTTGCTGCAATGTAGAAAATAATACGTGAAAAAAATGGGTTAGTGGTAAGTGTGAAATGTTATGCAAGTGAGAAGGAGAAGTAGTTTAGTGTACCATATGTTGGAGTTGTATTTGTTTGATGTTGAATAATTTTTGTTTCGGTGGACAACAAATTATGGCGGACGTGGGGAAGATCTAATCTTTTCTTGCCACAATTTCATTTACTGTGGTTATGTTGGTTTCTAGCCTAATATGCATGTAAGATTTCAATTGTTAAAAAGAATAAGGAAATGAAGAATAATAATGACAACAGATATAAGTATGTAAGTTAATTGAGTGAGGGAGAGAATATACCAATTCTTGAGTTCAAGAACTTGCTCAAATGGGGGATTAATGAGCACTAATGAGTTCATTTTTGTAGAGACGGATATACCTAAATAATCATTGAATTTAGCTTTCGTGTAGGAGGTTTAAATTGGTATGTGTTGGTGTGATTGTGTAGCAGGATGAGTGAATTTACCATTGAAAGAAGTTACTTTTAGTTTGCTGCCCACAAGAACGGGTTTTTCTTATGATGGTGTTGCAAATGGTATGACATTCATTTGTGACGAAATTGTCCCACATCTGAAGAATTCGTGTTTCGAACCTGTAAGGTTTTTAGTTGTATTTAATATCTACCTTAAAGAGTTATTTTAGTGTATGCAGTAGTAAGTGTCTAACTTTTCGTTCATGAGGATGAAGTCTTGCACTGTTGATGGGTTGTCACGAATTTGAATTACTCTTTTGGGGAAGATGTCGATTGCAATTCCAATGATGCCCACATGAAGTAAGTTGTGTTTGTAATTTTTTGGGGAAGATGTCGATTGCAATTCCTATGATGCCCACATGAAGTTAGGTGTGTTTGTAATTAGTATGAGCTTTAGTGCATGTTTAAAATAGAGGTAATGAAGTGTAGGATGTTAAATAGAATTGCAAGTACTTACTAATTTCCGCATTTGTGTCCATGTATAGCTGAAGGTTTTAGAATGATATGAAGGTGTAAGCTGATGAAAGGAGAGAGTTGAATTGTTCATTAACTTCAACAATTTTGGTTTTCGCATTGATTGTCCATCGGATGTTACTAAGTTGGGCGGCATAGTTTTTATCAGTTTCGTTAACTTGTGCATTTGAGATGAGGTATGTTTTTTGTGGTAGTAAGGTGTCTTCGAAAGCTGTGATGGCATTGTCGAATAGTGTAGCCTGAACTCCTGCAAAAAAATGAAGTTGAAAGATGTTATAGTCAGATTTTATAAGAGAGGAAAGATAAGAAGTTTAATGAATAATAGTATGAACTTGTAG